TGGTGCTGGGGATAGAACCCAGGGCCCCTTGCATGCGAGACGAGCACTGCACCACTGAGCTGCACCCTATGCCCTATCTGACACTCTCCAATTCTGGGACTCTGCGCAGTTGCTTTTGTTCTGAGCACGTACTGGTCACTCTGTGCAGGGGGTTCCATAAAGAAACACTGAAAAACATCGCTCCCTTCTAAGTGGGAAACGGACTGAGGGAAACAGGTAATAAGTGATGAACAGCAGATGCTTTGCATGGCACATTAGGAGTTAAAAGTGTCATCAAAAAAAAAGAAATTGAGCAGAAATGAAGGACCCAGCCTGCAGCTGAGAGGGCAGAGGAAGGACTGCAATAAAATTTCCAAGTTCAGTTGCAAACCAGTGAGACAAATGACAGAAGGGAGTTTCTGTTCCTCCTTATGAAGAATGGATCTTACCGAGAAACAAACGCATTCTATCATCTATCTGTCTTTCAGTCTATCATCTGTTATCTATTTATCCACATCCATCATCTATTTGCAGAATTATTGGTTATTTATGTTGATATATAAAATAATATTCAGATTGTTAATTTTACAATTGTATATATCAGTTATATATAGTCCAGTTATAAATAGTCCTAGAGAGTATGCATATATATTCCCATTTAACTAAGATTGCCTTAAAATAATCTGAAGCCTCAAGGAATTTTGATATCTCTTTCAAGTCAGGTAGCTATTTAGGGGGGTTCTGGTTCCTCAAATAGTCTGTTTATTTAGGGTGAACTTTCTAAGGGGCGCTACCTGCACCTCTTGATAACATAAACCCTAGAGGATTCTCTGCATATGACCCCTGGCTCCTGCTGGTCAGGGCCCAAGCTGCTCCTGCTGCCAACCCCCGAGGTGGCTGTTGACAGTGGTGAGGTCTTGGAAGGACAGGGCTGAGTGGCCCAGGGAGACCCTTAATCCCTGGATGGCAGGAGGCCACCAGGTACCCAGCCTTAGCCAGCACATCTTTCCCCAGTCTTCAGTCCTGCTCTAAGCTCAAGTTTGAACTTTGGTTTCTTGTGTCTTTGAAAATTCTTGGTGTAAAAATAAGCAAATGAGGGATTAGGAATGTCCAGTCATTGTTTGAGGACTTTCTGGAATTTAGAGCATTGTTATTTTAGTTGTTTAGAAACGGCTTTGGTTGCTTCTTTATCATAGGCCCGCAGGCTTCTGAATAACTTCCTGGGGGACTGGCCCACATTCTCTTCCCCCTGGCGTCTCTTGCTCAGCGAGGCTCACACTGGGCGTCTTCCCAGCATCCTGTCTGGGAATGACCTTCTCTCTGCTTACTAAGCTCCGAGAGTCCTTGCAAAAGTGAACAGTGACCTGCAGCACAGGAAGAAAGCCTGCTCTGGCGCCTGGCAAGAGAAAACAACCCCAGTTTCTAGGAAGTTAACACACACACACACACACACACACACACACACACACACACACGAGGAGAAGGCAGTGTTCCCCTGAAGGTCTTCTAAGGGAAGCCAGCAGACATCCCAGTGTCAAACAGAGGGAAAGCAGGTGTGGGAATACAGGTGGAAAGATTTCCTGTGGGCCTTGGAAAACAAGGGCATGTGTGTCTGTGCATGTGTATTACTGATTTAAAAATTCCTTGCCTAAGTGCCTGGAAGCCTGCAGCATTTAAGAGAAAAACCACCTTGCAATGTATCTAGAAAGAATTTCACTGTCTCCAGATAGGTTCTAAAGCTGTCAGCATTTCCTAACCGAGACCAATAAGAATAGGGAATCCTTAAGAAAGGGACAGTTGTGTCCTTTAAATCCTTCTCAATTCAAATAAGACCTATTGGAATATCATAAAGGATTTAAGGATATCCTCCTAGTCTGGCAAAATATGCAGATTTTTAAAAAAATCATTCATTTGTAATTATCACTGACACGATATTCAACCAATAAGGATTCTGATGAGCCCAGAATTAAGTAGCCACTCCTTGGTTATAATGCAGAATCATGATTCTCACTTATGAGTATTCAATGTGCCACCAGTTCCCTCTCTCCTGATCAGGACCTGCAAGGTGAGACCTGCGACCTCAGCAGGCCACTGTGCTCTGAAGTCCTGTGCATCGGATTGAATGCACTGCTGGTGCCATCTTGAAATCTATAACAGGTTTACTCTTGAGCTTGTGCTTTTGGGATGTGCACGGGAGCTGAGTAGTTATGTGCAATGCATCCTCTGGTCTCTGCTGCCTGTTCAGATTTAGTATTTATGAGGCCCCATGGAAGTGCAATTGGACTAAAAACAAATACAAGGGAAGTGAGTGAGGTGAGGTGGGAGGGGGAATGTGACAACCCTGACAGGGCGTCTTTCCATCTGAGCTGCCATCTGTTTGGTGTGAAGAACAAAGCTATAGTACCGTAGGAAACTGACGCGGCTAGAGGATCCCATCATGGCCATCCCTAACTCGCTTTCCTCAGTGAGGCAAATGCTTCCTCTGGATGTGAAGATACAGATTGAGGGAAAGACAGGGCAAGGGAGGATTCTTTGTCTTTTCAGTCCTTCCTGATTCATCACTACGTCGAAGGTGGGGAAAGCCAGTAGAATGTGTATACACTGAATTAAAAAGAGTTTAGCTAGTTTATATCATATTTGCACTATTCAAGAAAGAAGCAAAATACATGTACATGCAAGAGCTACAAAATATGAACGAACTACACAATTTCAGTGAATCTGCATGCAAGTGAAATACATTTACACTTACACTTTTCAAATGAACATTGCCCAGCCTAAAGATTAATGGTAAATTTTGTACAAGCAATTTAATTTCCATTACCCAAGATGACATTAAATAGCAAATTAAATATTTTGACAAATTGAAGGACTATGAAAGAAAGAACAAGGTTTATATCCTAGTACCTTTCATAAGAATTCCTTGCCCCGCTTTTAAGTGATTTTCATTTGACACTGGGCCATATAAAATATACAGCCAGTAAGTGAGTATTTTTGTGGAAACACATAGTAGCATAGTAATTACGTCCAATCTTGGTGATGGATTTACATAGGTCATTTCTATTGGTGTTCATATCACATCTGCCTAAGGTTTCATTTTAGTGGTTGCCTTTGTTAAGATCCCTGAGGAGCACCCTGAGATAAAGAGTCACGTTTGGAAGATGATACCAGAAAGCACCATGAGGAGAAACAGAAAGACCAGTGTGGAAGCCAAGGAACAGGAAGCCCGTGAAGGTAGTTACTACCTTGAGGAGCAGGAGTGAGAGCTCTTTTGAGCTGGGAGCTCTGGGGTCCGTGGTATCCCAGAATCACCCAAATGAAGAACAAGGATGCTGGAGCGTTTATCTGCCATTGATAGAGAGCTATTCCTGGAGTCATTGATTCTCCATCATTGCTGGCTTGTCTGCTCCTGGCTATCATGGTCAGGAATGGGCAGGGTACCCGCAACACCTATTGCATTAGTAGAGGAATTAAAAATGCAATAGAGACTGACGATATCTCCTAAAATGTTGAGTGAGACCCAATAGGAAACAGAGATGTGCAAAGCAAGAGAAATCTTTTCTCTGTCTGGATGAGATTTCAGAGATGCTTTTGTAAGAACTCTCACAGATGTGCCTGAAATGAAATGTTACCTTCGGTTCTGGGAAATATGGCACAGGAAACTTTTAAGATATGGAGAGGGCCAGGTGTGGTGGCTCACGCCTGTAATCCCAGCACTTGGGAGGCTGAGGCAGGAGGATCATTGCGAGTTTGAGACCAGCCTGGGCTACAAAGTGAGCTCAAGGCCAGCCTGAACTGCACAAGACCCTGTCTCAAAAAAGACCAAAAAAAAAAGAGAGAGAGAGAGATGGAGAGGGACGGGGATCTGAATGAAGAAAGCATGCTGAGGAGGAGCTGCAGCCAAGGTGGTGAACCTATAGCATGAGTGGTACAGTGGGCATGCATAGCCCTCTCTGTTGGCACATGTGCCAAGTCACCCCAGAATCTCGCCCCAGCATCACACCAGCAGCAGAGTGTTGAATAACAGCATACCTTGGGGCCACATGCATGCTCAGAAAGGAGCAATGGCTCCAGGCGATGATGCCATGAGCAGTTCCAGCACTGGATCTCTGAAAGGCCCGCTATCACTGACCTAGAGTCTATCTGGAGGCCAGAGAGAGGATGTTGTACCAGTGAACCTTGACAAGGCCTGCTCCGGACCTTGTAGTAGTCTTTAGTTTTTGATGACTTTGGCCTGGGTGTTGATTTCCTAATCCTCCAGGCACCAGAAATACACTGCCTGGTCGCCAACAAACCCCAGAGTGGCACACATGACTGAGTGTGGCCTCCATTGTGTCAGTTACCCAGTCTGTAGACCAAACAAATGCATGTGGTTAAAAAATCCCGTCAAGAAATGGTAAAACGCGTTTCTTGCTGGAATGAACCCTGGTTAAAAAGGATAAGGGATCCAAGCATGGGTCCAATGCAGAAGAAACATTTGTGAGGCGGGCTCCAAATGGGGAGAGTTTTGAAGACCAGCTCTGCCTCTTGGGGGACTTCTGGTCTTGGGTGAAGTACTTAACCTCCTGGTTCCACCATAGCCTCAATTGTAAAATGAAGCTTCCAATGGTCTGTGCTACAGAGAAGCCACCAGGACAAACTGGGATGATGTGGGTGACTTGCTTAACACATGCTGAGTGTTACATGCCAGCTCGTCCCCTTGATTTTCTATGGGTGATAAAATTTCCAGGCCAGCTTCAGGTTTTCTTCTGCCTTTGCAGTAAACTAGAAGCATTTATTGAGTGTCAGCTTTGTACCTATCCAAGGCACTAAGCTCTGAGGAAGTTAAAGCCTAGCTGGAAAAATCAGATATGCAAGGAAAAAAGAGTAGAATTGCCTCCTGTGTGCCAGGCAGGACTCTCGATTGACTATAATCTCATTTTGACCTCTACTAAGTTAAATAATGAGAAACAAGTCTTTACCTCATTTTAAAAGATGTACGAACTGCTGGCCCATGTGGTAAAGGACTTATTTCCTTCTTTCAGGAATCCGTGGAGCAGAAGTGAAATCCAAGTGTGTGGGCATCAAATCCATTTTTGCAACGACTGATAGAATAAAGTCTTCTCCCAGACTACCTTCCTAGTAATCTTGAGAAGCAGACAAGGACCATTTGCTAACACCATTGTACACATTCGGAAAATATGACCCAGGATCATGTAGGTACATTTTCAGCCTTAAAGGTAAGGTCAGTTTTTAAATCCAGTGAATTTTTTGACTATTAATCAGGAAATATTTTGATAGACACTATTTAGATGGTCACATTGTCAATCACTCTTTGGATGGTGTCCATGCACTGTGTGTGGCATTGATGTTGAAGAACACTTTGAAAAACCACTTTTTTAGGTAGGACAGAAGACCTGTGGGTGTCAGCTGTTTGAAGGGCAGTGGCCCCATATGTGTTTGGAGGTCAGAAGACCAGGAATTTGTCTCTGGTTCCACCAAACACTACCTGGAAGTCCTTAGGCACATCGCTGCTCTTGGTCATGGATTTCTCAAGTACAAATTAGAGATATTAGACCTAATGATTTCCCAAATCCATTAAAGACTGATTCTGCGAAGTAGAATACAAGAGATTAGTATGAAGCCCAGAGACAGGAAGAAGTAGAGATTTTCCTCTGTGGTCTCTACTGCCACCAAGGACAATGCTTTTCTGTGGCTGGAATTGTGGGGCAGCATATCACAGTTAATGTTAAGGATGGGAAGGAGGAATCCTTATTCAAGTCTTAGTTACAGGAATATGTGTACCGGGACTTAAGGGAATCCAGTTTGCCCTCCCAGGAGAAGAGAGTACAAATCCTACAAGAACTCCCTGGCCCCAGAACAGAGAGTGCCTGAACAAAGCCTGTTTTGATCCTTTGTCTTGGTTAGGGGTGATAGCATATCTAGAACACAAATGGCCATGCTTGTATTGTTTGCATGCCAGTAATGAAACAGGAAAGCACAGCCAAGTGGTTTGGTTGGTTTTGGCATGTACGCTTCCCAGGATGGGAAATGCCCTTAGATTCTGGCTGATGATCGAGGATTTTATTTTTTAATAAGCGCGTTACTTGCAAAATATCAGAGGTTCCCGCTGAAGGGTAATCGTAAAGAATTGAACATCCTGGTATTTGGAACAAACATTCCAGCTGATTGGCATCATATGCCTTACTGTAATGTCCGTGATATAACAGTGACCACAGCAAGAGCCAGCCGGAGGTCCCTGGGGATTCCCCCAGGGGAAGCCACTCCATTTATGGTAAAAGACAGTAACAAAACAGGGATTTGGTGTTGAGGCCTAGACTGCCAATGCCTCTAGCAGCAGGTTGTAGGTATTCTAGTGCTGATATCAGTAGCCTCAAAGTGAAACTATCTTTACCTTCAGTGGTTCAGGGGCCACGACCATCAGTACCCAAATGTAGTGTTGGAGTTCACTGTGTGACCTGAGACTGACCTTGGACCTTGCTCGGGAGCTTCTGATTCACTGATCTGAAATCTCATAGTTGTGATTCTTCCATGTTCTGCTCATTGAATCAATGAGTTTGCATCTTGACCTTCCCTGAAGGCACACAGTTGAAGTCTTTGTCACTAGCCCCTGGTACGATTTTAGAGGATGATGTTTAGGGGAAGTAGAGTCACTTGGAGGACACCCTTGAAGGGGACAGCAGGACCCTAGACATTGCTGTGTTTTTCATAGCTTTTCTGCTACCATCAAGGGAAAAGCTTTCCTCCATCACACACTCCCTGCCGTGCTCTGCCTCAGCACAAGCCCAAAGCAGTAAGACCAGACTAGGATGAACTAGAACCTCTGACACAGTGAGCCAAAGTAAACCTCTTCCCCTTTTAAGTGGATTATTGCAAGCATTTTGTTACAGTGACAGAAAGCTGACTGACCTGGAAGGCAAGACTTGATACTTATCCCACAATGACCTGGGCCCTTTCTCCTCACAGGATGGTCCACAGGCTCACAGCATCGCACCTTGAGAATTATAACCCTATTGTTCAGTGAGTGGGTGACCTACCTCCCAGATGAGCCAGGAAGCTGAGCTTCACTGCAGGTGTTCTACCATAGAACACCCCAAATGGAAATGTGCAAATGGATCGCTCCAGCATCTTGTTAAGGTGCACATTCTGATTTGGTAAGTTTAGGCGGGAGCATTTCTAGCATAAGAGAGGACTTGATTTTAGAATTCTGTGAATACAATCAATCAACTGTTGTGGTTTCTGTTTTCCTTGTGTATTGCCACTTTTCAGCCAAAGGGAAAGATCTCTTTAAAACTTTTGAGGAAACAGTGCTGAAACAATTCACACATACCAATGTGCAGCGTGTACTTAATATCACTACTTAGAAATATGACACAACTGTCATCCCAGCACTTGGGGTGTGCGTGGGGGTAGGAGGCTGAGGCAGGAGAATGGCAAATTTGAGCCTCGCCTGGGCAACTTTATTTTTCATCAAGCAAAAAAAGGCTGGTTTTTAATAACTACAGTTACCTTCCCTGTGGCTCACTGTGAGGTCCTAGGTTCAATGCACAGCACTGCAAAGCAAAAACAAAAACCCCAAAGATACTTAGGAGTAAACAGTAATGTCCTTAGCCATTTTCCCAAGCAACACAGAAAATCACCTCCTACCCTTAACCAATTTCACTTGTATTTCCCCCCGATACTCTTATGCTTCGTGTCTGGATATCCACGTCTGTATCTGTATGTACACAAACACATATATTTAAACACCACTGTCATTTTCCCTCGTGCATTCTAAGCTGGTCTGATGAAAACATTCTAGATGAGCCCCTCTCCAGGCTTCCAGTCCAAACTTCCGGGGATGCCCAGGACTCCTCCAACCACCCCTATCCTGAGTCTGCAGAGGAGGCTCAAAGGTGGTGGGGGCGGGGCCGGAGGGGAAGTCAGAGACCAGGCTCCGCCTCCAGAGGTCATGCAGAAGCTCAGCGTCGCCGCCAGGAGGCGGTGGTGTTCACCAGAGGAGTTCCCTATCCTTGAAAAGATCCCTGAGCTCTAAACTGGGGCTCTTACCCCTTCTTTGAAAATTAGGATGTCACTCAGTTGAGTTCATAGTTTTCTAATTTTTCTCCAGCATATATTTGAAAAATTCTACATAGAAACCCATATCCACTTATAATGTGATTGCTCTGAGCACCTTTAAAAATCACACACATACACCCCTTCACTTGGTCACACCAATACCGATGGCTTACATTTTTCCCCACAGGTAACCTCCTTATGGCTGTCTCCTTTCTTTAACATTCCCCAGACTTATCTTGCAGTCTTGCAAGATTTGAGATTCTGCTGGTGACCAGTTCTTTTCTGCCCTGAAAAAAACCAAAACAAGTCTTAAGTAAGGAAGTGACACATCCCAGGAGGAGACCGTCTCCTTCCGACCCACGTGTGGGGCCTGGAGGGGAAGCACTGTTGCCTTGTTGGGATTTGTGACCTAGGGCTTGTTGTTTATCTCTGGATTTGTTTCCTACCACTGCTCTTACAATTTGTCACATGCTTAGCTGCTTGCTTTAAATGATTTTTTTAGCTTACAGCTGTGAAAGGCAGAAGCCCCAAGTCGAAGTGTCAGCTGGGGTGGAGGGAGAGAACTAATTGTTCACCCCTTTTGTCTTTCAGGGGCTGCCAACATTCCCTGGCCAGTGGCTGCATCACTCCTACCCTTCCTCCCCTTCACATCTCCTCTGATTTAGACCACCCCTGCCCACTCTCATAAAGACCCCAGGGATTACCTGAGGCTCACAGACAACCAAGTACAGTATAATCTCCCCAGCAAAGATCCTGAACTCAATCACACCCACGAACTCCCTGTGGTCAGGGAAGACAACATAGTCAAATTCTGGGGATTTGGTCAGGACATCTGTAGAGGGTCATTCTTCCATCTATCATCGCCTAAACAGTAGAAATACTGAAATTGTGACCCTTCAGAACATTTGTACAAGTTACAGGGTTTTACTAGTAAATACAGGCTGAACTGCTTGGAATCATACCACAGAACAATTCTTAAAAGCCCCTGGGAAAGGAGACAATGGAATGAACATTTCATGGAACTTCCATATGCCGTGGACCATATGAAGGCGTGAGATGAAAGCCAAAGGGACCTGGAGGTTAGACAAATCCATAATCAACACAGCGTCTACCATGTAGTGTATTTCTGTGTTTCAGGCACAGCACTAGGCACTCTGCCCACACTAATTTGTTCATTTAATCTGTCAGCAAGCCAGCAAAAAGACATTAGTGTCTTTGTTTTAAAGATGAGGGAACTGAGTTGTATAATGATGATGGGCTCTTTGTGCTCCATCCAGTCTTTGTAGAAGCTCAAGGGCATGGCTTGTCTGTAGCAAGGATGATGTTTCTAAATGTGTTTTTTAATAACTAGCATTACCTTCCCTGAAGAAAGAATTTATAGCTTCCCCAGAAGGCTTCTCTGATTGGTAAACCTGGTCGTATGCCAGAGCATCATCAAGATGAGTCCCCATTAGTGAAGATGGTGTTTACCCTACTTTCTGAGTCACCACTTACAGTTGACTTTTCCCCACTTATTTGGCCAAGATCATTGGATCTTCTTGATTTTGTTGAGAATAGAAACTGTAGTGTGTATTAATGGTTGACATTCAGGACCCTGCCAGAGAGTGCATTCATATTTGATGAGCACGTATTGAATACTTGTCATGGGCTGGGGCTGAGTTGGATTCCTGGTACCTAACTCAGTAAATGGTGGAGAATGGTCATACTCCTCCACCGGCTCACAGGTAGGTGGTCAATGGCTTATGGTAACAACAAGGACTTGATGATCTGGCTGACTTCATCAACCTTAACCTGTGTGTAAAAGAACCAGGTGACTGGATTCCGTCCTGGTGTTGATATTTTTACCTCTTATTCTCCATCCTTATGGAAGTTCAGTTCCAAAATATGCATCTATCTATTGGTCAGCCTAGATCTTTCTGTTGCAAATAAAGAAAAGAGAAAATAAAGCCGTAATACTGGAATTTAAGCTGATTTTAGCCAATTTTGCTCCTCTTCAGATTTCTACTCTCCACGGTGTGCAGCAGCTTACTCAGCCAGCCCTCAAAGCCAGTTGTGTGTGTGTGTGTCTTCCCAATTCACTGTTCAGGGATAGCAAGCTCAAAGCTTGGAATGGGCTGTAAGAACAGTCATGGCCCCAAAATATATGAGTGCTGTAGCTAGGATTTTTCTTCTTCTAGAGAGTCAAGTTAGTAGCATACTCCTGTCCTGAACACGCAGGGTTTGTATGAGGAATACCACAATTAACTAATGTGTAAGTAATTAAACAGATGGAGAAATGTTAATATTTGTTAGTGTTAATAGATTAAAGTAATACTAAACAAGAGGAGTATCTTAAAAGTCACAGATTTAGGTGTTGGAAGAGACACTGGGAATCAATGAGAATATTTCTCCATTTGTCAGACAAGAAATCAAATTAAGCTTGATCAGAAGAGCTCTCTCATCTCCTTGGATGAGGCAACCTAGATAGCCCTGAAGATGCCTTACTCCTATGTCTCAGCTCTTGGGGTTCAAAAGCAGCAGGTGTCTGAGGACAGGGTATTAACGCCCCACAGTGGTAAGGGTTGCAGAGGGTAACGGACTAACTCCAAGAGCCACGGTTTGCATGGACAGGTCAGGGTTGCTTTGCCTCTGCCTGAGTCTGCTTTTTGGTCAAACATGGAGCTCCTAGGACCAAAGACAGGGCCAGTACTGGACCCTCAGGTGCTGGTGCTCATAGCCTGACTGGCCGCAGTATCTCAGGAGAAACCCAGGGCAGAGGAGAGTGTTTTTATTGTGCTATTGTTGTTCAGAAAGCCTTCCTTCCAGGATGGACCAAACCAAACAGATTAATTTGTTTTAAAAATTAATAGAAGCCAAAAACACACCGCAAAACAGCCTGTAGCAGCGTAGGCTTTTTGTGGTTGGCATCCAGAGAAAAACACGCAGATTGTTTCTTCTGTCAACGTTCCCCTGCTCTGTCCTTCCCGTCAGCCCTGCTGGCCTCAGCCCCACACTGAGCCCACTGGAGCATGAAGCTGGGGAGGTCAAGTGTTTCATACGGACTAAGTCACATCTGTCACTTTCCTTCTCTCAGCCCACAAGCTGCTGAACCGTGCAGGGCAAAGGTTAGAATTGTAGCGCTTGGCCACTCTCTGTGTTGCTGCGATAAATCTTTCCCTCCTCATCCCCCCGGTCAGCGCAGGCTTCCTCCCACCCGTCATCCCATTTTAGAACAATCTTTGCAAAATAAATAAATAAATAAACGAATAGGAAAGATCATTCAGTTAATAGTTTACATATGAACTCTGGCATGTCCTAGAAATGGAACTCTTGTATCCAGCGACCTAAGGTGAAGTTGGTTTTGTGCTGAGTATCTTGGGGATTGGGTCCAGCACTCTGAAGATACCAAAGTGTATGGATGCACAAGTCCCTTATAAAAATGCTATAACATTTGCATAAAACCTGCATGTTCCCCTCATAGGGTACATTAACATGTTTGTAGGTTACTTGGATTTCCGAATTCAACATGGATGCTGTGTAAAATAGTTGTTATACTACATTGTTTAGTGAATGATGACAAAAAAAAGCCTGCCCGTGTTTGATCAGGTGCATTTCCTTTTTAACATACTCATGCTTTGGTTGGGTGAATTTGAGGATACAGAGCCCAAGATACAAAGAGTGACTGAATTGTGTCCTAGCAACTGCCAAGGAGTTTCTGATTTTAGAAGACCCCCAGCAATGGCTGTAGATCAGTGTAGCAGATATTTTAACAGTTTTTAAAAGCACGCCCCTCACTCTTCATCCTCCTACAAGCCCCACAGCTGTGACCTGCATGCTAAGATGAACAGGATGAGCCTTCCTTATTCTGGACCCTGGGCCACAGAAAGAAAGAGTTTCAGAGGCTTGAATAAAGGAGTCTGGAGGCAGAATGCTTCAGGCAATGAATTGAAAAGGTTAAAAAGGCGGGGGACTGGTGAGGATTCCTGCACCCTGAGCCAGGGGTTGGGCAGTGAACATGGAGAGATAGGAGAGGGGCGTGGAAAGAGGTTTGTTACTGATTTCCATGGTTACCCCTGACTGGCAACTTGATTGGTGTGCGATACCTAGGAGACTTTTGGCTGTGTCCAGATGGATCATGGGACCCGATCCCTGGGGCCTCCTTCTCTGGCCTGTTCCTCTCACTCTGCTTCCTGGTTGCCCTGAAGTGGGCAGTGTTCTCCCGCCACATCTTCTGCCATGATGCTTCTGCCTTGGAGCGGTCAGCAGTGAACTGAATCCCGTGAAACCATAAGCCAACCAGCCTTTCCTCCTTTCACCTGTATGTGTCAGGTGTTTTGTTCCAGCAGTAGGAAGCTGGATAATACACAGAGATGCATAAATAAGAAAGTTACTAAGTGTGATTCCAGGGAAGGCACCTGACTTCTGGAAGAATGACAGTTCTCTTATTTGGCCAAAACCCCCCAGCATCTTCCCTGTTTCTAAAATTGTTACAGAAGCTGTTTTTCAGGACTCAGATGCAGGACTCTACGCCCTGGCCTAAAATGACCCTGAAAGCCTTCAGTTTCAGAAGACCTGAACCTGAGAACAGAGAACAAGAGTTTGTGAGCCTAGAGGTGCCACCTATAGGATGGACAGGAGTAACAGAGACTGTCCACTCCCCAGATGCAAGTAATCAGAGAATTTACCTCCACCCCAGGCCACCTGCTTTCCTCATCTGAGCATCCCTCCTGTCTCCTCATCAGCTGACTCACAATAAAGCTCTCTTTTTTTGCAAAAGTTGGTGCCACTGTGTTGACTTCTATGTACATTGGTTAGTAGATCCTTGGTTGGTATCAGTCCCGTGATACTTAGTCTTAGTCATGGACTTAGCTGGATGGAGTGCCACCTAGAAAACTGATTAGTAACATGTCTGGGGCTTCAGAGATGATGCATCATACAGGTCAGCAGACTGAGAAGGACATCTCCTCTGACTGTGGGTGGTGCCACCCACCAGGCTGGTAGCCCAGATGGAAGAAGCAGTGGGGAACGGGGGAGCTCACACGCACAGGCACTCCACTCTTCTAGGGCGGGAGCTTTTCTGCTGTTGCCACTGCCCATGTAGACTCCGGGTAACTCAGCCTCTGAATGCAGATTCACACCAATCACTCCCGGAAGCTGCCAGCCCATCAGTCTCAGCCTGGGGCTGCATACTTGATCCTTCTTGTTCTGACACTTCTAGCTTCTTGGACTGAGAAGCTACCGGTTCCTGCCAATCTCTAGCTTGCAGAAGGCCATTGTATGTGTGAGGTGGGGAGGGGGGTTACTCAGCTTCTCATGATGTAAGCCAGTCCAACAAATCTCTTCACATATATTCATTCTATTGGTTCTGTTCCTCTGGGGAACCTTAGCTACCACGAGTATCATTGACAGAAGCAGAGAGAAGTAAAATAGGGTTGGTGTTATGAGGACACCAGAAATTAATTCTTGAAGGGTACTAGTGTTCCTAAGCATCCATTTAGTGGTTCCTGCCCATAGACACTTTCCTGAAAAGGTATACTTTGTCATGTGTCAGGCAATTGTGCTGAGGTAGAAGAAAGCAAAATACAAAGGGTTTACCCCCACCTTCCCTCTTCTCAGAGGTAGTAATCATTGACAGATTATTACTGCTGTGAATTTTTAAAAATACAATGCTCTGGTTTATTTTATTTTATTTATTTGTCTTTTTGGGACAAGGTTTCACTATGCAGTGCAGGCTGGCCTTGAACTTACTTTGTACACCAGGCTGACCTAGAATTTACAATGATCCTCCTGTTTCAGCCTCCTGAGTGCTAGCTGCTGTGTATTTATAACCTCTTAGAGCAAGATTCTCAGCAGCTACCTGGGAAAGCTCTCTAGCAGAGTGAGATCACCTGGGAAGCTCTGGTCCTGTGTAGAAATATAGTGGGTCGTCATGATTGACTTAACACAGCTAGAGAATCCTGTAGGCTCGGCTCTCGGCTCAGTGCTGGGGGCAGGCAAGGCTTCCACATCATCGCTCAGCAGCCTGACTGATAACATGAACTAGTGTGACAGACTGTGAGGTTTGAAGAGAAAGTTCTCTTCTCAGTGTCCAAGGCTGATAGTAAAGATCAAAGCGTGGGCAGGGTTGGTTTCTTCTGTGTTCTCTCTCTTTGGCTGTCTCTTCTCTATCTTTACACGATCTTATTTCCATAGATGTCTGTGACCAGATTTCCTTTTCTTAGAAGGACATTTGCTCTACTTCATTAGGGCCCACCCTTACAACCTGATTTTACCTATTTACTTCCTTGAAGACCTTATCTCCACATGCACTCACATTCTGAGGCACTTGGGGATAAAACTTCAGCATACAGTTTTAAAGAGCCATCAATTAGCTTTCACAGGCTGTTCCTTGACTGGAGAGTGTGTCAGGGAAAATTCTATGGGATTCCCTGTGTAGCCATTTTTCGTTTTCCACCTCTTGGGCCTGAGGAAACCCATGGATGGACATGAGGAATCAAGACGTCTGAGCTGGCTGCACGGACCCCTGAAGAAGAAGAAAATCCACTGTAGCTCCAGAGGCACTGTTCCTCTGCCTTGCATTTTCTGCCCCTTGTCTCTTGAGATTTTTGGACAGAGTAAGAATTCACGTGAGTATTTGTCTTATGCAAGTGAAACGATCAGCGTGGTATGGATTTGTCTGAAAGGGAAGAACCACTGGCTTCAAGTAATTCAGACACTGTCTTCTCTGCAGGCCAGGGGCCCAGGGGAGTCCTTTTTCCTTTGCCCACTTAGGGCCTGACCAGTCCCCTCCATGTCCTTCTCCCACTGCAAATATAACACTTGCCTGTTTTGTCCTCTTCAGCCAAGACTCTCTGTTTTTTAACATAACAAGAAGAATATCAAAATCGAGAAAACCAACTTTTTTAGTGGCTTCCAGTTCTCTATTTTTCTCTGAGAACTCTTCTGGATTCCATGTTGAGTTCAGAATCTTCCTTTGGCAACAAATCTCTTCCTTGTGTTAAAGTTACCAGACCCGAAACTCTGGGACTTCTCAGGTCTCTGCTCCTGGACTTTTCCTAAACCAAACTCTCCTCTGATCATGTTTCTTGGGCTTGAGTAGTTCACTGTAAAGTTTTCTCAGAATTCACAGGTCTTCGTAACATTCCTAAATCTATTCATTGGTCCTATAACTGGGTTTTTAGCCTGCCTGTGATGGGATCCAAATTCATGATTCTATGACCCACACAAACACTCATACCAAGACATTTTATCTAAAGTCCACTTTTATGTAATTTCTCCAGCCCTAAACACAGCACATCTGGTCCTAAGTGCACCTCTGGTTATAGAAGGGTGGGCACATGTGCAATGGAAGAGTGTGTATACATGGAAAATATTTTCCTTTGGAAGAGTAAGACCCGAGACTCACTCTATCTTTTTAATTTGTTTTCAGATTCCCATATTCATGCCTGAATTGCTGACAGAAACAGATCATTTCCAGGAGAGCTGGCAATAGTGCTTACCAGTGTTGAAAAATCAGACAATAGATTGTCAACTTTAAAGCCAAGTGATAAAAAGTTGAAAGACTCCATGGTAGTTTGACGAATCCCTTTGGGCCTTTGTGGTCAAACCAAGAGATGCTGCCTAAACTCAAGTTTAGTGTTAATGCTATTTTTGCACAACTATTTTATAGCTTGATTGCTTAAGAGAAGAAAAACTCATTTGCTGGTAGGGTTGAGAATGCCTTAATGGGAGTGTAGTTGGAGGCTTCAAGTGAGGCTGAGGTTTCGCTTGCTTCTATTTGCAATGAGTTCAATGCTTTGCTTTGTGAATTGGCTTCCTCGGCAGTAGACTCTGAGACAGAGACTTGTCAGGACCATCTGGCTGCGGAACGTTCTCAAATCCACAGCTGAGAGGGAGCATGGGAGAATCTGGAATCCAGTGCAGTCCCCACAAGGGCTTCCTGACAGCATGGTGCTGCCGAGGAAACTGAGTTGGGGAGTGGGTCCTGTGTCCTACCCTGGCCAGCTGTTGGATGTGTGCTGTCACAGGAGGCAGAGTGGTCTCCAGTGAGCTGCTCTCATAAGCAAAAATAATTCTCACCCGCATTAAATTCTTCACTATTGAGGAGGGGAATCTGGGTAGCAACATAGTATGCATGACTTCTCTGTGTCCAGTGGAGGATTATTGTGACTGCTCATCAGATTAAGAAAGGCCTATCAGATTAGCAGAGCACAGTCCTGAGTGTGTCTGGGTGGGCAGTGGAGGCTGGCCTTGGCTACTATATCTGGTCCCTCACCCCTTTTCCCTGGCACTGTTCCCCAGATTTGCTCCCTGGCCACCATGAACTGAACGGCTTTGTCCCTCCATATTCTTCCCCCGAGATGCTTCTACCTTGGAGTCAGCTGATTGTAGACTGAATGTAGGAGCAAATGAAATCTCTCCTCCTCTAATTTGTGGATGCTGGGTGTTGTGCTGAGCAATGGAAATACTGACTAATACAATTATTGAGGCATTTGTAGGTTCAAGCTCATATATATATGTGAAATAGAAATGGTAAAGTACAGCCATCCCTGGCTCTCCACAAGGGTTTGGTTTCAGGATCCCTCAAGATTCTTAGATCTGCAAAAGGATGCTCCACCCACTCATATAAAACTGTGAAGTATTTGCATAGAATCTATGCATGTCCTTTCCTATGCAGTAGTTTAAATCATCTCTAGATTATTTATAATTCCTAATAATGCAAATGTTTCTAAAAGCATATCGTTAACTGTATTAAGGAGTGACAAGAAAAAGAAGTCTGTAAAGGTTCAGTGCAGATGTAATTTTTGTTTTCAAACACAGTGTGCAGCACCCTCAATTCACAATCGATTGAATCTGAGGATGCAGAGACTGGATATGAAGGTCAACCTAACTCTAGTGGACTGAACACAGAGTGGCTTATTTTGTGCTATGCAAAAGGAGTCCTGTAATTAAGCACACAAGAATGGTCCAGTGAGGCCTCCGTAGCATCTCCATTGTGAGTTCTGCCCATTTCCCATATTACCATTTCCCATATTACCATCCTCTTGCTGCCCATCCTCCTCATATTGCTTCCTTCATATTGCTGCATGGTTCTTGTCTTCTTCTCAGCAGGAATGAGGGAAGGACCAAAGTATAAGGATAGAAGAGCTTTCTGCCAGGGAGGCCCTGCTCCCTTCATTCCGAGAAGGGCCATCTTGGGAAGTTCCATCCACAGCCTACTGGCCAGCAGTGGGTCACATGCCGTTCCTCACCAAACAGGAAGTTGAGAAATCTAGGAATAAAAGTTGAATTTCAGGTAAGCAATAGCAGAGTCTGCTTTTCATCCTGAGGTGCAGCTGGAGCTTGTGGATTAAGAATTTAGGGACCAAACCTCCACATCTGAACTCCTTTGCTCTCGCTCCCTGATTTCCTTTAAAGGTGTTAATCTGTGCCTATTTGGATGGAGAAGAGTGGAAAGGAAAGCACTTTGGTGAAGGTGACTCCTGGACATTAGCTTTGGGACCAGGGATGCTAGGACCCAAGGGGAAGGAGGGGAAGGGGCTCTGTCTGGTCATGCCGATAGTGACATCAGGCAAGACGCAGATGGAGATGCCCAGTACACCTCTGCATAACAGGTGCAAGGCTGAGAGGGAAGCTCTAGGCTAAAGACAGACTGGGAAGTCATCGGACACATGCTTGAGGGACATAGAAATGTGGATGGTGGCCAATAACTGTCAGGTGAGGACGTTTTCTTCAATAACTTTTAGGGTTTTAATCTCTGTCCCATTCACCCGACAGTTCCCATAGACCTCCTTGTATAATAATAGATTTCTTGCCCTCCATGTCCCACTAGCCCTGTGTCTGGGGGTGACCTCAGTGTTCTCTGGGTCGGCACCCATGCAGCCCCTAGCTTCCTTTCTTTTTTTAAAAAAATTTTATTTAAAGAGAAAAAGAAAAAAAACCAGAAAAAGGGTACAAGTAATACAGAATTTCAAAAAAATGAACAGTAGGAAATCACTAGTTAATAGATTACATATTGTCATCTTAGAAATAGTTGTTCAAATTACAAAATTAAAGCATACAAAGTGGACATTCAAACAGTGAGACTGCAAACAGTTCTGTTCAATGATCCAACAAAAACTCAGTAATATGATTATCTATCTTATACACTTAAATATACATGCAGTTATATCTTTTAGCGCACTTTCTTTTCCTCTCTTTTTTACAATAACAATTACACATTTTGGGTTTTATTACTCCCACAGTTCTTATCACTTTTTTTTGAAGAAAATAAAACCAAATGTGACATGACAAAACAGAGTCAGTCAGATCAAAAGGATGGACATAGTACATGATGTAAAAACAGAATACAAGGTGATCAACAATGGTTACCATAATGCCTCTTGCTATCTTAAAAAGAATTGCCTATATCATCAGTTATAATGAAATTGAACAAAACAGTACAGAATAAAACCAATAAAACTGAAACATTGGAGACATTACAGGACTTCAAAAGATGATAATAGTCAAACCAGAATGGGCATCATAGTGAATCTTATTGCCTTCAGAGTAGTTGCCTATACCCTCAAAGTTGATACTATCAAGCAAAACAGAATAGAATAAAACCAGTCAAAACAAGATGGTGAGAGCATCTTGGCTTCAAATCAAGTTAATAGGAAGTCAAAGTGGTTACTATAATATTTCCTGCTTTTTTAAAATCTATTTTTCCCTTAATTAAAAAAATAAAAATAAAAAGTAAATAATAAAAAAAGGAGACTGAGATAAAAGAGGGCATAAAACTCAACAGCACAGGTCAGAACAGAACAATTTAAGCAACATAGTGTTTTACCACAAGATATGCCAACATAACAGTAGTTATCATAGTGTCTCTTTCCTTGGAATATTTGAGTATAACTTCGTATACTGTTAGCTTCCTTTCTTTTTTTTTTTTTTTTTTTTGTCTTTTTCCTTTTTATCGGTACCAGGGATCGAACTCATGACTGCCTGCTTGCAAGGCAGGCACTTATGCCGCTGAGCTAAATCCCTAGCCCCAGCTTCCTTTCTGATGTTTCCATTTCTCTCAGCACTCTCTGAGGTGTGCCCATTGTCTCCCAGCTACAGCACATGTCGGGAAAGGTTGGCATTTGAGAAGCCTGGTAAGAGCAAAGTGTGTGTTAGAGGTGGGGGAATCCCAGTGGGACATTTTGAAGAGCTCTACCAGGAGACAGGGACAGGGCTCAGAAACAGAGGCCAAGGAGGAAGTTCAGTTATCTGAGCACACAGCAGATTCAGGATGCAGAAGTTGTATCCTGAAAATGTTGTAGAACCATAAAGGGGCCTTTTGGGGACAACCATGGGGACAGGCTGTGACTAAGGTGATTTCTGGCACCGGGGAAACCCTAGGACTGTTTCCAGGTCAGAGCAAGAAAGGACAGTGACACGATTTGAAGCCCTGCTACCTCGGCAGATTGGAGGCAGGAAGGCTGAGTGTGCTCAGTGCATCCTGATAAGATGGTTCTAGAAATTGAGGTGGGGTTGACAGGTCATTGGTCAGATGGGGGATGAGTTCTTCAGCGGAAATAGTCGCATCCTTTCCTGCAACCATTATGGCTGCTTTTGCATCTCTCATGGTCTTGCCTGGTGCTGTTGCTTCTGCTGGAACCATCTCCTCGCAGCTCTGCCTAACAGGCTGTGAGGATCTCAGTCACTGCAGACCCTTGGCATCCCAAGGAACAACTCAAACTTTTATTTTTGCACAGATGTGGACTGATCCCTAGAATCTGGGCCTAAGGAACATTTGAGTTACGTTCTTCACATTCTTTTATAGCCCTCACATCCACTTGGAACCTCAGAGTATATGACCTTAATGAGAATTAGCATCTTTGCAAACATGATTAAGGTACATTTCCCTTATAGTGGTCCCTAAATCCAATGAGGAGTGTCATTGTAAGGGTCATAAAAGGAAAGACACAGAGCACTGAGAGGTGAATGTCGTGTGCAGATGGGCCAGAGAGAGGCTGACACATTTGCAGACCAAGGAATATAAGGAGAGTTGGGAGTCACCACAGGGCAGGAGTCAGGCAGGGGACAGATTCTCCCCTGGAGGCTTCAGAAGCGATCAGTGCCGCTGACACCTTGATTTCAGACTTTTGGCATCCAGAACTGTGAGAATCACAATTTTGTGTAGTTTTAAGCTTGATGGTCATTTGTTGTGGTGGCCCCAGGAAATGGATACAGGGTCGTACCTGAAAACCCTGCTGATCTGTTAAGTATGTGGTTTCTCTGGCTCTGTTGACGGGGGCCATGGCATCCTCATTCCAGTATTCCTCTGGTTTTCTGCAGTGGGTGATTTCTGTGGCCACTCTAAGAAGACTTATGAGAATAAGTCTCCTGATGACTGATCCCAGCAGGTGGTGGATACACAGAATTGGTCTGTATCACCTGCTACAGAAAATAAAATACAGTTACAATGTCCAAGGTGTTCTCACTCATATTATTTTATTCTCAGAGCAACTCAGTAAGGAGGCAGATCGGGAAGCATTATCTATTTTACCCTGAAAAAATAGAAACGTATAAAAGGGGAACTGTTTCACTTGTTGCATTATTTGCTAAAACGTTCATGAGACAATTGTGGGGTATCAAGTTATTTCTTTCTCAGCCATCAGTTAGGAGCATATTTCACAAGAACCAGAAGTGCTGACGAGTGGACGCTTTGAGAAGTCAGGCCTGATTCATCTCACAAAATAATAGATGGAGGAGGCCATAGCAGAGCTAAGGAGCCCCCTAATTGTGGCACCAGGGCCAGGTACCTTCTGTCTGCTCATCACATCTTCTTAGCACGCAGGACTTTCCTTCAGACTTACCAACCTTTCTTCCAAAATGGTGGCTGGACTTCTAGGACGTTCTTTAGGGAGAATGAGAAGGAGAAGAAGAAGAGAAGGATCAAGAGGCCAGCAGAGGAAAGATCTTCCTCCATCAAAGCCAGAAGGGGCCTCCTCCCAATGACTTCTGCCTACGTGGTACCACCCAAAACTATGTCACCCCGTAGAATGCTTCCCCGCAGAGGAAAGTCATGAGGGAGGGGTGGATTTTGGTAGACAATTGTTCAGTATCAACTCTATTCCAACTATGAGGCTAAATATGGAAAAGGAAGTTCCTCTTGGCCTGGAATATTGGATAAGGCCCAGGGTTGGGGATTTGGAGTGGAAAACTCACCAAAATCAGCACATTATATAATTTGTTCCCAAAACCTTGGATAGATAATGAATTCATTCATTCAACTTAAAATGAATTTTACTGTCTAATTTTGAGATTTACAGCATGGTGTTTTGGGACTCGTGTAGTTATTAGAATGATTATTATAGTGATATAGAACGACAGATGTATTAAGTCAGGGTTACTTTTTTTGTGAGAAGAGCAGCTAAAAGCTACTTACTTTTTTTAAAATTTCATAACTTTAGGCCTCATGGTATGTATTAACTTTATGGTATTTCACTAACTGTAGTCCTAATGGAGTATCTTAGACCCCTAGACTTGTTTATCTTGTGTATCTGTTTTGTCTACTTAGATCCTCTTCTTATTCTTGATAATCACTTCATTTTCTATCTTGATGTATTTGAACTCTTTTTTTAGTACAACATAAAACTGAGATCACATAATATTTCTTCACCTGGCTTATTTATCAGAATTTATAGCTCATTTTTTAAGTTGGAATACTGTTCCAAATGTAAATATGTACCACATTTTCTTTACCCATTCGCTGGTGGCCATTTAGGTTGTTTCCATATTTTACTGTTGCAAATAATGCTGCAGTCATAGGCATAGATAATAATTTTCACGTCTCTTTCAGGACATTTCTTCAAGGAAACCATAATAGCCAACAGATTCGTGAAATGGTGCTCAACACCACCAAATCTCAGGGAAATGCACCTCTATGAGCTATTACCTTATGCCCATGAAATGGCTGTGATCAACAACACAAGAGACACCAAAATTCAGCAAGGGAGCGGAGAATAGGGAACCCTGACATGCTCTTGGTAGGAATGTAGATTGGTACAGCAATTGTGGAAAGAGTATGAAGGTTCCTAGGGAAATCAAAAGCAGAATTACTGTATGGTCCACACCTCTTTTAGATATGCACTAAAAAGAAATCAAATTACTTTTTCTTATCATGTATGATTTTATTTGTTTTTTATTAGTACTTTCTTGCAGTACATAATAATTATATCCATTGTACAGCAGGTACGTGTACATAACACATCTTAAATTTGTTTATTTTCTTTCTCTTTTCTCTATCCTTCTTTCCATTTGCAAATCTTTTTCCTATTTATAAAATATCTTATTTCTCTTATTGTCTAATTTTCTTTTGTTCTTTAAAGTATTTTTATTAAATCATTTGTTTTTCAATTCACATGTGAAGTCTTAATTGCTATTATTGTGAATAATATTAATAAGAGTCATAGTAGCTTTAATAATGATGATAAAAGGAATTGTTAATACCTGTTTACTCAAGGCTGTTTTTTAAGCTTTAATCATGCTATGTTTGGAAGGTGTTAACAACAAGTGGTGTTGGTATTAATGTGAGATGCTTGAACTTTTGACACTTTTAATACCAAAAAGAAAGATGGGGAGGAGAAGAGAGAGAAGAATTAAGGGAAATTTTTTGATAAATTGTCAAAAATTAGTATCTTCTGTTCTTGGCTCACTAGAACAACAAAAATGTAATATGAAAGTTATTTTGTTTTCTACTCTATCTTGTAACTTGCTTTAACATGCAAATTTCAGACACCAAACTGAAATCCTAGAGAAAATTCGTGTTCCAAAGATAACACTGCATCTTTCTGGTGAACCGCGGGGCCGGCAGAGGAAGCCTGAGGGGGTACACGTCCCTGTCCCTGTGGTGACAGCCTCGAGTGCTGCCTTTGCAGCTCAGGGATGGTTAAGTTATGGGAGGTGAGCGAGGTCTACTTCTGCCCTGCAGAGAAAGACCATTCCTTGACCCCTGAGCATTAGTGGGTTTACTGGGGAGCCTGGGGATGGTCTATGTGGTTTCAGCTTGGGGCCCCTCACTTGTGGGCCCACTTTCTGCAAAGAATGCTGTTAACCAACTTTAAAATCCTATGATTCTCACAATTTATAAGGAGAGTCTTTCTGAATTTTTTTCTCAAAGAGGGTCCCCCGGATGTCTGAACTCCAGGGCCCATGTGGGACGACATTATTTGCAAACATTTCCTGAGAAGCAGCAAGCGTTTGATTTGCCCCCTGCCTACACCTTTGGCCCCTGCCAGGCAGCCTCCCCTTCCTTCGTGGTGTCTGTAACCCATCTGGACAGAAGTGCCTTGCATCCCTTTGGGGAGGCCTCAGCTCTTGTTGGGTTTTGGAGGTTTCATGAAAGAGAGGCACGCACAGACAGCCGCTCCAAGAAGAGCGTTGATGGAAAAGCTCCAGGTGGGGGAAATCTTTGCCACTAAATCATTAGAAAACAGACTGCATATGTGTCTTTTAACATGAGGAAGGTCTCACTGGGAAAACTTCTTTGAAACCTCAGACTAGGGACGGCTGCTCCTGCCCCTGAGTTCACAGATATCCGGAACCTATTGTCATCAACGTAGTTCATTATGATAACAAAACAGGGGGAATAGCCTTTATCTAAAGTGTTTTGGATTTCAAACTTCTCTGGATTTTGGAATATTGACATGGACATAATGAGCTGCCTTGGAGAAGGAACCAGCTTCTAAACCTGAAATTCATGTATGTTTTTAAGGCTCCTAGCCTGAAGTTAATTTTATGCAATACTTTTCATAATTCTGTCCATGAAGCCAAGTTTCATGGTGTAGAAGTTCCCACTTGCAGCGTCAGGCTGACACTCAGAAAGTTTCTGATAGTGGACCTTTTGGATTTAGAATTTTTGGACTGGGGATGCTTGGTCTGCATTCATTTTTGTGTTTCTTCCTTTGTGTCATCTCATTCATTCCTTAAGAATATTCACCTTTTAGTCTCTCTATACCCGAGACCAGGCTCCCCAGAGTGGCTGGCAAAGAGTAAACCCTAGAACAATTAATTAGCTAAACCCATTTCAGTGTCTCTCTCTCTCTCTCTTTCTCTCTCACACGCGCGCGCGCACACACACACACACACACACACACACACACACACACACACATTCCCTTCTTCTCAGATAGAGACTTAGAAAGTGACAGTATGTCACCTCTCTGGAGAAAATGCCACCACTGGACATCCCTGTGGACACGCCTTCTTTCATGGAGTAGGGACTGGGCAGCTCTGGCTTTCTGATTACTGACAGTGTGTGATTATTAGGGCCATCAGGCAAGGACTCCCGCCATCCCCCAAACCATCTTCACGCCTTATCTCCCTCGACAGCTGCATTCCTAGTTGCCAATGAATGCCTAGGCAGGACATCTAGAGGAGTAAGATACTGGACACCAGGAGAACGGGAAACAGAGAGGGAAGGCAGCCAGCTGCACGGGTGCCCAGGATTGTTCTTGTCCTGGGTGGTTTCCCAGTTCTGGGGCATTCAAGTTCACATTCCCAAAGCTTTCATCCCTGGCAGATGCAGTCTTCAACACTGCCTGCCTGAGAGCAGGCCTGGAGCTGGGAAAGGTCAGTGCAGGTCACCACAAGGAGCCCAGAGGTGCTGGTTTTCCTGGAAGACCCAATCAGAAGGATGAGTGGCGACCCACTGACACAGCACACGCCTTTCTGAGTTCACCCAGCTCAGAACCCTGAGGGCTGGAGGGCTGTTCTGGTGGGACCCGGTAGAGGCTCTGCCAAGGAATCAAGGAGCCAGCCCATGTTTGCTGAGTAGCTTTCTCATGCCGGACACATGCTAGCTCCTTGTGAATCAGATCTTGGCTTCACTGTCTCTGTGACCCACACCTTTGGAGTTTACCAGGGGGCTGAGGCAGGCCAGGTCAACACAAGAAGCTGGGTTGGAAAGCAGGACACTAAACAGAGGACCAATACTCAAGGGCAGGGAACTGCCGTCTCATCTTCTCGCCTCTCATACATCAGTGCTTAGTAAGTTACCCCAAGCCAAACTCTGATGGGCAAGTAGGCTGTTTCCAACTATTTCATCTTGCTCTTTATTCTGTTTCTGCTTTTTGTTGGTACCAGGGATTGAACTCACAACTGCGTGCTTGATTTTTTTTTTCCTCTTTTTATCAGTACCGGGGATCGAACTCACGACCACACACTTGCAAGGAAGGCGCTTATGCTGCTGAGCTAAATCCCCAGCCTCCTGAACTGTGTGCTTGAAAAGCAGTGCTTATGCCACTGAGCTAAATCCCCGGCCCTCTGTTTCTGCTTTTGTCTTCTGTTCACATTGCAATACTGCTTTTCAACAATCAGAACACAGAGAAAAGCTCTTCAGAGGCAACTCTGAAAAATTACCTATAATAATATATGTTGGGAGCAGCAGTGACTAT